ACAAAAAGACAAAACTTATTAAGAGCTATAAGAGACAAGAAGGTGTGGAGGGCCATGATCGCTTACGTCCTGAAGTGACAAGGCACATAGAAATAGAAGAATGAGCTTGAGTAAATGGATGGCAGAACAGGGTTTGGGAGAAATAACAAAAAGACAAAACTTATTAAGAGCTATAAGGGACAAGAAGATGTGGAGGGCCATGATCGCTTACGTCCTGAAGTGACAAGGCACATAGAAATAGAAGAATGAGCTTGAGTAAATGGATGCCAGAACAGGGTTTGGGAGAAATAACAAAAAGACAAAACTTATTAAGAGCTATAAGGGACAAGAAGGTGGAGGGCCATGATCGCTTACGTCCTGAAGTGACAAGGCACATAGAAATAGAAGAATGAGCTTGAGTAAATGGATGCCAGAACATGGTTTGGGAGAAATAACAAAAAGACAAAACTTATTAAGAGCTATAAGGGACAAGAAGGTGTGGAGGGCCATGATCGCTTACGTCCTGAAGTGACAAGGCACATAGAAATAGAAGAATGAGCTTGAGTAAATGGATGCCAGAACATGGTTTGGGAGAAATAACAAAAAGACAAAACTTATTAGGAGCTATAAGGGACAAGAAGATGTGGAGGGCCATGATCGCTTACGTCCTGAAGTGACAAGGCACATAGAAATAGAAGAATGAGCTTGAGTAAATGGATGCCAGAACAGGGTTTGGGAGAAATAACAAAAAGACAAAATTTATTAAGAGCTATAAGGGACAGGAAGATGTGGAGGGCCATGATCGCTTACGTCCTGAAGTTACAAGGCACATAGAAATAGAAGAATGAGCTTGAGTAAATGGTTGCCAGAACAGGGTTTGGGAGAAATAACAAAAAGACAAAATTTATTAAGAGCTATAAGGGACAGGAAGATGTGGAGGGCCATGATCGCTTACGTCCTGAAGTGACAAGGCACATAGAAGTAGAAGAATGAGCTTGAGTAAATGGATGACAGAACAGGGTTTGGGAGAAATAACAAAAAGACAAAATTTATTAAGAGCTATAAGGGACAGGAAGATGTGGAGGGCCATGATCGCTTACGTCCTGAAGTGACACGGTACATAGAAGAAGAAGAATTAGCTTGAGTAATGCTAGGACAGGGTTTGGGAGAAATAACAAAAAGACAAAACTTATTAAGAGCTATAAGGGACAGGAAGATGTGGAGGGCCATGATCGCTTATGTCCTGAAGTGACACGGCACATAGAAATAGAAGAATGAGCTTGAGTAAATGGATGACAGAACAGGATTTGGGAGAAATAACAAAAAGACAAATCTTATTAAGAGCTACAAAGGGCAGGAAGATGTGGAGGGTCAAGATCGCCTACATTCTGAAGGGAATCAGCACTTTTTATAACTGCCTTTGCCAGATTTTCTTTCGTCTTATTTCTATTGCTTTTTATCCACTTGTAGTAGAGTAATGTTCGGGATAGTGTTTAAAAAAAGCTTGTAAAATTCAGTGTTGTGTTTAAAAGAGAGTAACGTTCAGTCCTGTTTTAAAAGGGCGTTTTAAAGATTATGTTTAAAATTGAATAAAGTTCAAGTTATATTTAATGGTCAGGGTCCTGTTTTTTAAAAGGGCGTGTTTAAAGCTGGTAAGATTATGTTTGTTTAAAATTGAACGTTCAAAAAGTTCAAGATTATATTAAAATTAATAAAGTTCAGATTATATTTAATGGTCAATTCAGTTGTTTTAGAAGGTAATGTTCGGGATAGTGTTTAAAAGCTTGTAAAATTCAGTGTTGTGTTTAAAAGAGAGTAACGTTCAGGGTCCTGTTTTAAAAGGGCGTAAAGTTAAGATTATGTTTAAAATTGAATAAAGTTCAAGATTATATTTAATGGTCAGTAAAGTTCGGAATTGTGTTTAGAAGCAAGTAATGTTCGGGATAGTGTTTAAAAGCTGGTAAAATTCAGTGTTGTGTTTAAAAGAGTGTAACGTTCAGGGTCCTGTTTTAAAAGGGCGTAAAGTTAAGATTGTGTTTAAAATTGAATAAAGTTCCAGATTATATTTAATGGTCAGTAAAGTTCGGAATTGTGTTTAGAAGCAAGTAATGTTCGGGATAGTGTTTAAAAGCTGGTAAAATTCAGTGTTGTGTTTAAAAGAGTGTAACGTTCAGGGTCCTGTTTTAAAAGGGCGTAAAGTTAAGATTGTGTTTAAAATTGAATAAAGTTCCAATTATATTTAATGGTTCGGAATTGTGTTTAGAAGCAGATTTCGGATATTTAAAAGCTGTGTTGTGTTTAAAAGAGTGTAACAGGGTCCTGTTTTAAAAGGGCGTAAAGTTAAGATTGTGTTTAAAATTGAATAAAGTTCCAGATTATATTTAATGGTCAGTAAAGTTCGAATTGTGTTTAGAAGCAAGTAATGTTCGATAGTGTTTAAAAGCTGGTAAAATTCAGTGTTGTGTTTAAAAGAGTGTAACGTTCAGGGTCCTGTTTTAAAAGGGCGTAAAGTTAAGATTGTGTTTAAAATTGAATAAAGTTCCAGATTATATTTAATGGTCAGTAAAGTTCGGAATTGTGTTTAGAAGCAAGTAATGTTCGGGATAGTGTTTAA